GTGTAGAAAAAAATTGACAGCCCGATCCGAGTAGAGGAACACCAATTTTATGACCATTAAAGCGATTTTCGTCAAAAAAAATTTTCAAAAAAATTCAATTTTTCTTAGGCAGACTATTTTATTGCAATTTCTTGCACAAAATACACCTAAAAGTGTAGAAAAAAATTGACAGCCCGATCCGAGTAGAGGAACACCAATTTTCTGACCATTAAAGCGATTTTCGTCAAAAAAAAATTTTCAAAAAAATTCAATTTTTCTTAGGCAGACTATTTTATTGCAATTTCTGGCACAAAATACACCTAAAAGTGTAGAAAAAAATTGACAGCCCGATCCGAGTAGAGGAACACCAATTTTCTGACCATTAAAGCGATTTTCGTCAAAAAAAATTTTCAAAAAAATTCAATTTTTCTTAGGCAGACTATTTTATTGCAATTTCTTGCACAAAATACACCTAAAAGTGTAGAAAAAAATTGACAGCCCGATCCGAGTAGAGGAACACCAATTTTCTGACCATTAAAGCGATTTTCGTCAAAAAAAATTTTCAAAAAAATTCAATTTTTCTTAGGCAGACTATTTTATTGCAATTTCTTGCACAAAATACACCTAAAAGTGTAGAAAAAAATTGACAGCCCGATCCGAGTAGAGGAACACCAATTTTATGACCATTAAAGCGATTTTCGTCAAAAAAAAATTTTCAAAAAAATTCAATTTTTCTTAGGCAGACTATTTTATTGCAATTTCTTGCACAAAATACACCTAAAAGTGTAGAAAAAAATTGACAGCCCGATCCGAGTAGAGGAACACCAATTTTCTGACCATTAAAGCGATTTTCGTCAAAAAAAATTTTCAAAAAAATTCAATTTTTCTTAGGCAGACTATTTTATTGCAATTTCTGGCACAAAATACACCTAAAAGTGTAGAAAAAAATTGACAGCCCGATCCGAGTAGAGGAACACCAATTTTCTGACCATTTTAGCGATTTTCGTCAAAAAAAAATTTTCAAAAAAATTCAATTTTTCTTAGGCAGACTATTTTATTGCAATTTCTTGCACAAAATACACCTAAAAGTGTAGAAAAAAATTGACAGCCCGATCCGAGTAGAGGAACACCAATTTTCTGACCATTAAAGCGATTTTCGTCAAAAAAAATTTTCAAAAAAATTCAATTTTTCTTAGGCAGACTATTTTATTGCAATTTCTGGCACAAAATACACCTAAAAGTGTAGAAAAAAATTGACAGCCCGATCCGAGTAGAGGAACACCAATTTTCTGACCATTAAAGCGATTTTCGTCAAAAAAAATTTTCAAAAAAATTCAATTTTTCTTAGGCAGACTATTTTATTGCAATTTCTGGCACAAAATACACCTAAAAGTGTAGAAAAAAATTGACAGCCCGATCCGAGTAGAGGAACACCAATTTTCTGACCATTAAAGCGATTTTCGTCAAAAAAAATTTTCAAAAAAATTCAATTTTTCTTAGGCAGACTATTTTATTGCAATTTCTGGCACAAAATACACCTAAAAGTGTAGAAAAAAATTGACAGCCCGATCCGAGTAGAGGAACACCAATTTTCTGACCATTTTAGCGATTTTCGTCAAAAAAAAATTTTCAAAAAAATTCAATTTTTCTTAGGCAGACTATTTTATTGCAATTTCTTGCACAAAATACACCTAAAAGTGTAGAAAAAAATTGACAGCCCGATCCGAGTAGAGGAACACCAATTTTATGACCATTTTAGCGATTTTCGTCAAAAAAAAATTTTCAAAAAAATTCAATTTTTCTTAGGCAGACTATTTTATTGCAATTTATGGCACAAAATACACCTAAAAGTGTAGAAAAAAATTGACAGCCCGATCCGAGTAGAGGAAAACCAATTTTCTGACCATTAAAGCGATTTTCGTCAAAAAAAATTTTCAAAAAAATTCAATTTTTCTTAGGCAGACTATTTTATTGCAATTTCTTGCACAAAATACACCTAAAAGTATGGAAAAAAATTGACAGCCCGATCCGAGTAGAGGAACACCAATTTTATGACCATTTTAGCGATTTTCGTCAAAAAAAAATTTTCAAAAAAATTCAATTTTTCTTAGGCGGACTATTTTATTTCAATTTATGGCACAAAATACACCTAAAAGTGCAGAAAAAAATTGATAGCCCTATCCGAGTAGAGGAAAACCAATTTTCTGACCATTAAAGCGATTTTCGTCAAAAAAAATTTTCAAAAAAATTCAATTTTTCTTAGGCAGACTATTTTATTGCAATTTCTTGCACAAAATACACCTAAAAGTGTAGAAAAAAATTGACAGCCCGATCCGAGTAGAGGAACACCAATTTTCTGACCATTAAAGCGATTTTCGTCAAAAAAAATTTTTTTAAAAATTCAATTTTTCTTAGGCAGAAAAAAATTGACAGCCCGATCCGAGTAGAGGAACACCAATTTTATGACCATTTTAGCGATTTTCGACAAAAAAAGATTTTTTTAAAAATTCAATTTTTCTTAGGCAGACTATTTTATTGCAATTTCTTGCACAAAATACACCTAAAAGTGTAGAAAAAAATTGACAGCCCGATCCGAGTAGTGGAACACCAATTTTCTGACCATTTTAGCGATTTTCGTCAAAAAAAAATTTTGAAAAAAATTCAATTTTTCTCAGGCAGACTATTTTATTGCTATTTCTTGCACAAAATACACCCAAAAGTGTAGAAAAAATTGACACCCAGATCCGAGTAGAGGAACACCAATTTTATGACCATTAAAGCTATTTTCGACAAAAAAAAATTTTTTTAAAAATTTAATTTTTCTTAGGCAGACTATTTTATTGCAATTTCTTGCACAAAATACACCTAAAAGTGTGGAAAAAAATTAACAGCCCGATCCGAGTAGAGGAACACCAATTTTCTGACCATTAAAGCGATTTTCGTCAAAAAAAATTTTTTTAAAAATTCAATTTTTCTTAGGCAGAAAAAAATTGACAGCCCGATCCGAGTAGAGGAACACCAATTTTATGACCATTAAAGCGATTTTCGTCAAAAAAAATTTTTTTAAAAATTCAATTTTTCTTAGGCAGAAAAAAATTGACAGCCCGATCCGAGTAGAGGAACACCAATTTTATGACCATTTTAGCGATTTTCGACAAAAAAAGATTTTTTTAAAAATTCAATTTTTCTTAGGCAGACTATTTTATTGCAATTTCTTGCACAAAATACACCTAAAAGTGTAGAAAAAAATTGACAGCCCGATCCGAGTAGTGGAACACCAATTTTCTGACCATTTTAGCGATTTTCGTCAAAAAAAAATTTTGAAAAAAATTCAATTTTTCTCAGGCAGACTATTTTATTGCTATTTCTTGCACAAAATACACCCAAAAGTGTAGAAAAAATTGACACCCAGATCCGAGTAGAGGAACACCAATTTTATGACCATTAAAGCTATTTTCGACAAAAAAAAATTTTTTTTAAAATTTAATTTTTCTTAGGCAGACTATTTTATTGCAATTTCTTGCACAAAATACACCTAAAAGTGTGGAAAAAAATTAACAGCCCGATCCGAGTAGAGGAACACCAATTTTATGACCATTTTAGCGATTTTCGACAAAAAAAAATTTTTTTAAAAATTCAATTTTTCTTAGGCAGACTATTTTATTGCAATTTCTTGCACAAAATACACCTAAAAGTGTAGAAAAAAATTGACAGCCCGATCCGAGTAGTGGAACACCAATTTTCTGACCATTTTAGCGATTTTCGTCAAAAAAAAATTTTGAAAAAAATTCAATTTTTCTTAGGCAGAAAAAAATTGACAGCCCGATCCGAGTAGAGGAACACCAATTTTATGACCATTAAAGCGATTTTCGTCAAAAAAAATTTTTTTAAAAATTCAATTTTTCTTAGGCAGAAAAAAATTGACAGCCCGATCCGAGTAGAGGAACACCAATTTTATGACCATTTTAGCGATTTTCGACAAAAAAAGATTTTGAAAAAAATTCAATTTTTCTCAGGCAGACTATTTTATTGCTATTTCTTGCACAAAATACACCCAAAAGTGTAGAAAAAATTGACACCCAGATCCGAGTAGAGGTAGACCCCTATTATGACCATTCAAAATCCTTTGGTCAGATTTGAGATAGTAATATGATAAATGAGCCTAAATTTGATCTAAATCCATTAAAACCTGTTAAAGTTATCTTCTAAACAAAAATGGGATCCACACGCACACACACACACATCCGGACAATTGATTAGGATCTCATATAACATGTTTCTATAACGAGAAAAATTTGTTTCCGACACTTTGAAAATTTTTATAAACGTTAGGACTAAAAAACTTCCTCCACGAGGAAGCAAAATTAATGAAAACCTCATTTTGGAATGTAATTATAAATTATAAAAATTATATTTTCAATGAAACTGCGAATTTTTTTAGTTTTTTTATTTATACAGATATTGTTCTTGAAATTTACATGTAGATAATTGAAAAAAAGGCAAACATTAATTATAAATGCATTGCATTGCTTTCTGTTTTGCATATTAATTAATTATTGAATAATGTTTGAACAGTAATTATATAGCAAAATAGTCAATCCTCATAAAATTTAAATGAGCGAATGCATTTTGGTTCGATAATATTTGATATTATAAATCATTGTTGAATGTATGTCATAATTTTATTAAAATTTGAATTTTCTGTACACTTTCAATTTTTTTCTTTTTTAACAAAATGAAATTTTTTTTTTCTATTCTATTTTTCATTGTTTTTCTATTGTCACTGAATTTGAAATCTCCTTTTTTTAAATGATCCATTGTTGTTATAAATAAAAAATGAGTGTATTTATGTATCGGGGAATAAATTTTTTATTTAATTTAAAAAAAAACTTTTGTTATTCTTTTCAATATCTTAATTATTCAGTTTTATTGTTTGAGGTAATTTACATTAATGTGATGGCAACAGTTTCTATAAATCAGTAGTAAAAAATTTTTTTTTTAAATAGAATTAAATCATTCAATGAGAGCAACTGTGTAAATAATTCAGATTTAAAACAATTCATAGCTTTAAAAGAAGTTCAATATCGGTTTTTTTTTTTTGTAAGAGAAGAAATTATTACAAGCGTAGAAAAAAAAATAATTGTTGAATCATGAAAATTGTATTTTCCTTAATTCTGTTGATTCTGTGTTTGCAAGAAATTTTTGCACGAAATGGTATGTACTTTTGGGACGTATGAATATCTCGTAAAAATCACATTAGCTAAAATTTTCATTTGTATGAATTTAAATTGACAGAATTTCTTTTTATAGACGAATTTTCATTTTTTGAATTAGCATTTGGATTACTTTCTTTGTAAACGAAATTTTATTTAACATAATTTTTAGGTAATTTTTATTTAATATAATTTTTATTTTACCCAATTTTTTTGTTATCCAATTTTTTATTTTAAACAATTAAAATTTAAACCAATTTTAATTATTTAAAAATTCTGACATTAAACCATTCGAATCACTAAAATTCTGTTGAATGAGAATTTTGATAAATTGAAATTTGTTTAAATTTTAATTATTTAAAATAAAAAGTTGGATAACAAAATATTTGTTAAAATAAAAAATTGTGTTAAATAAAAATTACCTAAAAATTATGTTAAATAAAATTTCGTTTACAAAGAAAGTAATTGAAATATGCTAATTCCGAAAAATGAAAATTCTAAAAAGAAATTCTGTCAATTGAAATTCATACAAATAAAAATTCTAAATAATTTTCATAAAATATTCCTGTATAATTTCAATATTTTTAAATTTTCATTTAAAAAATTTATTTTCTGATTTGTAATTCTCAATTTTTTAGTACAAACCTCAAGTGATGTCAGTGATAAATTTCTGAGAATTGTATTACTTGACGACAATAATAATAATAATTTTGTAGACGATGAAAATGTTGACATTAAAGATTATCCCTGGATGGTTAGTGTTGTACAATATAGTGCATACAATAATAGATGGAATCATATTTGTGGTGGTAGTTTGTTGACGACAAATTTCGTTTTAACGGCCCATCATTGTTTACCAAATGATAAAAATAATCCCAATGTTCTATCAGTGCGATCGGGTTCAAGTTCTCGTTTTGGTGGTATTATACATTCAATAAAAAAAATAATTCCACATCCTCAAGGCTATGATGTTAGATATGATTTAGCAATATTGCAAATTTATCCAAGAGTTCAATTTTTGGGTGGTACTAGCTTACCCATTCAAATATTCATTGGAAAAGTGAATCCCGGAACTCATGGATTGATTCTTGGCTGGGGATATGCGCATTTATAGTGAGAGACGAATTTTTCATTTTTCAAACAAAGGGTCAAAATTTTTCCAACGAATCTTAATTTTTAGTGTTAAGTGGTTTTTTTTACTTCTACTGTGATTGAAATAAGTTTCTGAAGAAAATAAATTTTTTTATCAAACTACAAAAAATTGTTTAGAAACAATTGAAATTTTTATCTGTAACGATTTCTAAGGTAACGATTGTTATGGAAGCGATTGCTACAGAAATGGTTTCTGCGGTAACGGTTTATACGGTAACGGATTCTATAGTAATGGTTTTTTCGGTAACGGTTGCTGTGCAAATGGTTTCTTCGGTAACGGTTTCTATGGTAACGGTTTCTACGGTAACGGTTTCTACGGTAACGTTTTCTACAGTAACGGTTTCTTCGCTAACGGTTACTATGAAAATTGTTTCTTAGGTAACGGATTCTATGGAAATGGTTTCCACGGTAATGGTTTCTATGTAAATGGTATCTACGGTAACGTTTGCTGCGGTTACGGTTTAACGGATTCTACAGTAACGGATTCTATGCTAACGGTTGCTATAGAAATGGTTTCTACGGTAACGGTTTCTACAGTAACGGTTTCTTCGGTAACGGTTTCTATGGTAACGGTTTCTACGGTAACGGTTTCTACGGTAACGTTTTCTACAGTAACGGTTTCTTCGCTAACGGTTACTATGAAAATTGTTTCTTAGGTAACGGATTCTATGGAAATGGTTTCCACGGTAATGGTTTCTATGTAAATGGTATCTACGGTAACGTTTGCTGCGGTTACGGTTTAACGGATTCTACAGTAACGGATTCTATGCTAACGGTTGCTATAGAAATGGTTTCTACGGTAACGGTTTCTACAGTAACGGTTTCTTCGGTAACGGTTGCTATGGAAATGCTTTCTACGGTAACGGTTTATACGGTAACGGTTTCTGCGGCAACGGTTTTTTATGTAAATGGTTTCTACGGTAACGGTTGTTATGGAAATGGTTTCTACAGTAACGGTTTCTAAGGTAACGGATTCTATGGTAACGGTTGCTATGGAATTGGTTTCTACGGTAACGGTTTCTACAGTAACGGTTTCTTCGCTAACGGTTACTATGAAAATTGTTTCTTTGGTAACGGATTCTATGGAAATGGTTTCTACCGTAACGGTTTCTATGTAAATGGTATCTACGGTAACGTTTGCTGCGGTTACGGTTTAACGGATTCTACAGTAACGGTTTATACGGTAACGGATTCTATGCTAACGGTTGCTATGGAAATGGTTTCTACGGAAATGGTTTCTACGGTAACGGTTTCTACAGTAACGGTTTCTTCGGTAACGGTTGCTATGGAAATGGTTTCTACGGTAACGGTTTCTATGTAAATTGTTTCTATGGTAACGGTTGCTAAGGAAATGGTTTCTACGGTAACGGTTTCTAAGGTAACGGATTCTATGGTAACGGTTGCTATGGAAATGTTTTGTACGGTAACGCTTTCTTCGCCAACGGTTGCTATGGAAATGGTTTCAACGGTTACGGTTTGTGCCGTAACGGTTTCTACAGTAACGGTTTCTATGGTAACTGTTACCATGGCAACCATAGGAAATAAAAATTAAAATTGTTATTTATAACTTAAAAAAAAATTCTTTTCAAAATTTGTTTTTAACTAGATTTCTACTATTTTTTTTTATTATTATTTAAGACACAAAAATTTCATTCGTTTAGAACTTTAACGAAAAATTTGTTTTTTGTTTTTTATTTCCTAAAATTTATTTTGATTTCAGTAGAAATAAAAAAAAAAACGATTTTGAACAAAATAAAAACTAATTACTTTCTAAAAAATTTTGGTTACCCCATTTTAAGAAATTCTGATTCATCTTTTTTTTGTCCTTTTGTTATTTATAATTAAAAAAAAAAAAAAAAAAAAACAATGTCGAATACAAAAAATAATGAAAAATAATTTTCTAGCCCTCGAAAAGAAGTCAACTTTTTACAAAAAGCAGAAGTAACACTAATGAGTAAGGATTATTGCGAGAAATTTACTGGAAGGGGAGATTTTTTACTATGTTCTATGGAAACTGATGCTGGTGTTTGCTCGGGTGATTCGGGTGGTCCTTTAGTAATTGACAACCAATTAGCGGGTGTTATTTCAATTGGTGGATGTGAAAGTCCATCTCATGCCAATAGTTTTGTTAATATAAGTTATCATCGTGAATGGATTGAAAGTGTCATTGAACCAAAATTTTTTTAAATTTCATTTTTAATATTTTTTTTTTTAGAGAAAAAGAAAAAAAAATATCAATCTACATTTGAATTAGTGAGAATTTGTTAATTTTGATTCAAATTTTACTAAATTTTTACTAAAAAATGACTAAAAATTAGTATAAATTTTTACTAATTTTAAGTAACTTTGAGTAATTTTTAGCAATTTTTAGTAATTTTTAATATTAATAATAGTAAATATTACTATTTAACTTAGTAATATTTTTTTTATTAAAGTTTTAGTGGAAAAGTAGAAGAAATTTTTTATTATTTTTTTTAGTAAAATAATACTATTTGATTTAGTAATTTTCTTTTTACTAAAATTTTAGTGGAAAAATGACTAAAAATAAGTAGAAATTTTCACTAATTTTTAATAAAATGTTACTATTTGATTTAGTAATATTTTTTTTTTACTAAAGTTTCACTGAAATATAACTTAAAAATTAGTAGAAATATTCACTAACTTTTAGTATTAGTAACTTTGAGTAATTTTTAGTAATTTTTAGTAATTTTTAATAGTAGTATTGATAAATATTACTACATAATTTAGTAATATTTTTTTCATTAATTTTTAGTAACTTTTATTAATTTTTAATATTAGTAATAATAAATATTACTGTTTGATTTAGTAATATTTTATTAATAAAGTTTTAATGAAAAATTAGAAGAAATTCGTACTAATTTTTTAGTAAAATATTACTATTTGATTTAGTGATTTTCTTTTTACTAAAATTTAAGTGGAAAAATGACTAAAAATAAGTAGAAATTTTCAATATTTTTTAGTAAAATATTACTATTTGATTCAGTAATATTATTTTCACTAATTTTTAGTAATGTTTAGTAATTTTTAGTAACTTTTAGTAATTTTTAGTAATTTTTAATATTAGTAATAGTAATAGTAAATATTAATATTTGATTTAGTAATGTTAAAGAAAAAGTGTACAAAATTTATCAAAAATGAGATTTTCAGATTTTAATTTTTTCTAAAATTATTTAAAATTTTTAACAATTGTCCATAAACAAGTTGTCGTACATTTTTTCCATAAATAAAATCCAAGTGATTTAATTTTCTTTCTCTTACAACAAATTTTCCAATAACTTTTGGTAATTTAGACGATAGATATAATACATCCTGTAATTAAACAATTTTTTAAAAAATATAAATTACATGTATTTTCAATATTTAAATAAATTTTTAAATAAATTTTTTAATAAATTTTTAAATAAATTTTGATGATAGAGAAAATTTTTTTTCATTTTATAAAAAAAAAGAAAAAGAATATAAACTTTATAATATATAAAGAGAGAAAAAGAAATTACCCCTGGAGATGATAGAAAATCGTTAACTCCATAAAATATAGCAATCGGTACTTTAATGTTTTCAATTGGATATTTGGGAGGAACTGTTGTATTATATAGGAGCAAATTTTTCACAGCTCCATAATCATATAGAGAAAATTCCCCTAAAATACAGAGAGAGAAAAATAAATTAAAATTTTTTTTTTCCCCCTTTATTTTCAGTTTTTAATAAAATTTAATTATTAAATATTGTGAAAAAACAAACCATTCATCATTCCAGTGTGATAATGGATTATTTGTTTCAATGAGCTTCCAGCAGGAAAATATGTTAATATATCAGTTATTTTTTGCTAAAATTAAAAAAATATATTTTAATTTTTTCCTATATTATATAAAAAAAATTAATTTATTTTAAAAAAAAATTATTTCAATATAAAAATGATTTTTATGTTCCAGACCACCTAAAAAAAAAATTTTTTTTTTTTCGTTTTTTCAACCAAAAATAATGGAATTAAAAAAAAATGTATGAGTTCCAAAACATAAAAATCAGTATCTAAAACTTACCCGGTCCATTTCGTCTATTCCACTGCCAACAAAGGAAAACATAAAAATATAACACAAATTTTGCCACGGATTTCCAATTCCACATAAATATTTTATAAGTACTCTAATAATCGAAAGAGCGGGAAAAATTTCAAAATATCCAAAATTTTCTACAAAATTCTAAAAAATTAAAAAAAAATAAATAAATTAGTAATAATTAAAATTCTATTGAAATGAATTTTTGGTACTAAATAAATACAAAATAATATTTTTACATGGATTTTTTGGATTAATTCCATTTGAATTATAATTATCGTTTTTTTTAAATAAAGATTTGAATTATGTAATAGAGATGTAAAAAAAAAAAAGTTATTTTTTTCACCCTCGATAATAAAATCATATTATGCAGCAATGCATTTAATCCTTTTGTATATTTAAAATAGGCGGCAGGTGCTAAAGCAGCAGTGAATCGTATTTTTTTATTATTCTCTGGTTTTAAAGATCCCATCACTAACAATTGTGTACATCCTTGTGAAAAGCAAATATAATTTAAATCAGTCATGTTGGTCTCTTTCAAAATATAATCAATTGTTGCAGGTAAATCGTAAATTCCAAATTCGTGCCAGCTTATGGAAAAAAAAGAAAATTAACAAAAGAACAAATTTTATGTATGTTGTAATTAATTGAATTATTATATTACAATTAATATTATATACATATATAATATATTATAATAATATATTAATATTATATATTAATATTATATATTAATATTATAATAATTAATTATTATATACAGTATATATAATTTAGTATAATTAATAATAATAATAAATTATTTTAATTAACAATAATGTTTAATATAGTATAATTTATAATTTGTTTTACCTAAAATCCCAAAATCCATAGCTTGTTTCAAGTTGTTTTGTATGATTTTTTCCAAAAGTATTACCGCGATTATTTCCTAACCACACATCGTATCCATTTTCAACTAATAAAAATGCTATGTATATAAAACAAAATTTATTATTTTTTAGAAAAAATTTTTAAATATTATTTCTAATAATTATAAAAATTAAAGCAATTTTAGAGACGCCTGAATAAGTTCTAAAAATCATTAGTTATAGAATTTCATTTGTCATAATTATTTTTGAGACAAATTTTTATTTTATTTGAATTATTATTTAGCAGAATTTTCATTAAATCGATTTTCTATATTACAGAATTTTTACACAATTATTATTTGATCCCTCATAACAAAAGGATATCCCTAGGATATCCATAGAATATCCATATCAATGGTCGATATCCTAGAATGGTCCCCATGATATCTTGGGATATTCATAGGATATCCCTAGGATATCCAAACCGCCGATCTGTGGAACATCAACAGGACATCCATAGGATATCCACAAAATATCTATTGGATATTATATCGCAGGATATCCTCAGGATGTCCGTGGGATATTCTTAGGATATTCACGGGATATTTAATATTTCAACATATATTTTTAAAGGTTAAAATTGTTAAGCTAATATAATGAATAATAATATAATAAAAACATCCCTAGGATATCTGCGGGATATTATCAATATATCCCGCAGATATCTTGTGTTATTAGGGATAGAATTTCCAAATACCCAATTTTTCATATACTACAAAATTTATACTTAACAAAAAATAATTTAACAGAATATCTATAAAATTGATAGAATTTTCATTTGTCCGAAATTGCAAATCAAAATCAAATCAAAATTTATTCATTAAAATAATATCTTATAAAATTTCTAAAAATTCTAACAATTGATTTTTAGAACTTATTTTTGCTTCCCAAATTTTATTGTATTTAGTTAATTATTCAAAATAATGTTTTACTTTTCAATGGTTTAATTTTTAATAAATATATTTTAAATTTATTGACACAGTTAAAAATAATTTAAAAGTATTAAAATTGATATAAAAAATTGGATCAATTTGATACTTTCAAGTTAATTATGTGATATTATCATAAATCACAGAAATGATTATTTTCAAAAAATTGCATGAACGATAAACTAGAAGTCAAAGCACTAAATCATTTTAAAAAGCAATCATAAAAAGGAATTTTTTATTTTTTATGAATAGAGTTATCATGCAATGTGTTCATTTTATTTTATTTGCTTAAATTTTAGAAACCTTTTTTTTTGTTTCTATTTTTTTTTTTTTTTTTTTTTTTTTTTAATATATATCGAAAATAATTTTACCCAATGAGGTATTTGGACCAGTTACAACCCAATCTGCAGAACTCATTAAAAGTCCATGCATCAATAATACCAAATTTTTTCCTCTCTTAATATTTTCACCTTTAATCCCTGGAATTCGTTGTATTTCAAGAATATATCCATCTTGTGTTGTAACATAATGCGTTTGTACCAAATAACCATAATCTTGAATCAAATCTGTCTTGATATTTTCAATATTGAAACAATAAATTATTAGAAAATTAATTTTAATAATTATTCATATTATTAGTATTATCAAAATTTATTTTAACAATTATTTAAATAATAGTATTTGATCAGAATTTCTCAAAACGGATCATCAAAATGTAATTAATTTTATGTTTGAAAAAAATGATATATATACTCAATTAGAAAGAAAGTTATTTAGAAATAATTTATTTAAATAATAATTAATTATTATACTGTAAACTCTCAAGTCAGTGAAACCTACAATAAGGGTATAAGAAAATTTAAAATTTTGAATTTTGAAATATACTACCTTGTAGGAAATAAAATTTTTTTTTTTTTTCTTGAACATTTTTTAGAAGAACGAATATTTTAAAACATAAATCATCGTATCTTTTACAATTATTAACGGATTTGATTAAAAATTGGCATACACACGCTCTAGGGTCTACTGAAAACGACAATATAGTGAAAAATTAAAAAATCACTAATTGTTTATTAATTTTTTCATATAAATAGAGACCTATCAGAAATCACGTTTTCTTACATTCGGCGACAAAAAGTCTGCAGGGAAGTTTACAGTTCGAGATAATTTCCAGTGAAACATTTGTTTATTATTATATAAGGAAGAATTTTGGAAAATTTTAAGCCGATTCATTAAAAATTTTGAAAAATATTGAAGTTTTAAGAAAGCGCTGTGCAGCACGCTAGCGCGTCATTCGATTCTGTGCATTAAATATACCCACTTAGAATGATTCACCGGAAAGTGCTCCCTGGAGGTTCTATCAGAATTCCGCGGGAACTTCCAACGTAATTCCGTCGTATAATTCCATCGGAGTTCCAAAGAATTTCCGATGGGATTCCGACGGAGTTCCAACGGAATTCTGACGGAATTAGGACTCTAAAAATTTTGAAAAAAATTAATCGGAATTCCGTCAGAATCCCATCGGAAATTCTTTGGAACTCCGATGGAATTCCGATGGAATTACGTTGAAAGTTCCGGCGGAATTCTTATAGAACCTCCAGGGGGCACTTTTCGGGGAATAATAACTATAACAATTTTTTTTTCCTAATATATTTAGAAATATATTTTGATCACAGTAGGATTTAATTTGAAATTAATTAAAAAAATAAAATAAATTGAAAATTAAATTTGTTAATTTTATGTCATTTAAGAAATTCTGATTTCTATTATCAAAATTATTATAATTTATAATTTATAATTTATAACAATAAACTTTTTACATAAGTTAAATGATTATTATCGACTTACAATTTTTTTTGAAGAATCAGGAATTAACTCATGGGAAAAATTAAAAATATAAAACAGAATGAAAATAATAATTTTTTTTGCCATCGACACACTCTAATGTCACTGCTACTGTCATTGAGAAACTGTTAATTTTGTCTTAGGAAAAATCTTGTCTTTACGTTTGTAACATTATATTAGTTTTTTTTTTTTTTTGCTCTAATTTACCCACACAAATATCTTTTACTACAAATTATATATATATGTTGAGATATGATACTATAAATTACAATTTGAAATTGTCATTTACGAATAGTATGAAATTTGTGAATTTTTACAAAAACAAATAAATCAGAAACAAATTATCGTAATTTTTAATATGCATTATTGCTTTTAATATAAATTAAAGTCTTCACGAAGATAATAAAAAAACTCAAGCATTTTTTTTTTTCGAATAATAAAATTATGCCGTTTAATAAATTATTATATAGAAATATATGTGTGTTTTAAAGAGATCAAGGATTTATCGTTTTCAGGTAAATTATTACTTATTATTAAAAAAAATTATTAAAAAAAAAAAAAAAAAAAAATTCACTTCATTCTATATGATGATAAATACATTTATCATTTGCACGATATCAAATGTTTGAAGAAAAAAAAAAATTACACACTTTTATATTACTATGTACTAATTTTTTTTTAATTCTTCTAAACTGGTTGTGATATGTTTTTTCTTTATAATAATTTGAATATAATAATTACAATTTAATGAAAAATCCATTTTATTTGGAACCAATTAAATTTTATTTTTATAATTCGAAAAATCAATTATTTGATTTCATATATTCTTGTAAATCTTGACAAGCTTGTTCATAAGCTAATTCTTTTATATGTAAACCAAAAACAAAATCGTAATGATTCAATTTTCTTTTTTCTATAAGTTGTCTTTTTATTAGATTCGGAAGCTTCGACGCAAGTAATTCTACATCCTGAAATTATTATTATTATTATTATTATTATTATTATTTATTTATTATTTTGTTTATTATTTTTTTTATTATTTTCTTTATTATTTTTATTATTATTTTATTATTATTATTTTTTTTATAATTTTTTATATTTTTTTATTCATTTAGTTCATTTAATAATTTAATACTTACTTTTGGAGATGCTAAATAATCATTTTTTCCATGATAAATAGCTATTGGAATGTTGATATTTTCTAATGGATAGTCAGGAGGCGTTGTTGAATTATAAAATTTTAAATTCTTCTTTTTCCCATAGTCATACAATCTAAAGTGACCTATTATAATCAAAAATAAAAAAAAAAAAAGAACAAAAATATTATTTATTGAAAAAAAAAAATTACATTAATGTAATTTTATAAAATATCTAACCCTTATTCCAATAATTAAATCCATAATGAATTATTTGTTTCCAAGAAGCTCCAGCAGGCTCGAATGCTAAATAATCACCAACGTGTTGCTAGAGAAAAAATTAGTCATTTAATTTAATTTAATTTTTTTTTTTTTTTTTGTGAATTTTTCCTCATTGTATTTTTTCAAAATAATAAAAAAAAAAAAAAGAAAAATTTTATTCACAACTTACACGATCTACTTCGTCATAGCCAAAACCAACTGCCGTAAAAATTAAAAATAAACATAATTCCTGCCAAATAGCTTCTTTAGAACAAAAAGATTTTGTAAAAATTCTTAATTTTGGATCAGCATTTCCCACGGAAAAATATCCCCATTTTTCTGCTGCATACTGCATTAAATAAATTGAAATTAAAAAATTTTATTTTTTGAAAAACAATAATTTTTTCAGAATTTTTTTTTTTTTTGGGAAAAAAATGTTCAGTACACGGATAAAAATATTTATCTCGAATAGCGAAAGATTTCACTGGAATAGCAAATATTTAATTGTTTCAGTTAAATTTTTACTACACTGAAAAAAAAATTTTATTTCATTCAAATAATCTCTTACTTTACTATTAACAAATAAATATTTACTTGAACCAAATAAAGGTATACTTGAACCAAACAAATATTTATACCTGAACCAAGTAAATATTTACTTAAACCAACCAACCAAACCATTTACTTGAAACAAGTAAATATATACTTGAACCAAATAAATATTTACTTGAACCAAATAAAGGTATACTTGAACCAAATAAATATTTATACCTGAACCAAGTAAACATTTACTTAAACCAACCAACCAAACCATTTACTCGAACGGAATAAAGGTATACTTGAACCAAATAAATATTTATACCTGAACCAAGTAATTATTTACTTGAACCAATCAACCAAAATATTTACTTGAAACAAGTAAATATATACTTGAACCAAATAAATATTTACTTGAACCAAGTAAAGGTATATTTGAACCAAATAAATATTTATACCTGAACCAAGTAAATATTTACTTGAACCAACTAACCAAACCATTTACTTGAAACAAGTAAATATATACTTGAACCAAATAAATATTTATACTTGAACCAAATAAATATTTATACCTGAACCAAACAAAAATTTACTTAAACCAATCAACCAAACTATTTACTTGAAATAAGTAAATATATACTTGAACCAAATATATATTTACTTAAACCAATCAACCAAACTATTTACTTGAAACAAGTAAATATATACTTGAACCAAATAAATATTTATACCTGAACCAAGTAAATATTTACTTGAACCAACTAACCAAACCATTTACTTGAAACAAGTAAATATATACTTGAACCAAATATTTTTTTTTTTTTTTGGGAAAAAAATGTTCAGTACACGGATAAAAATATTTATCTCGAATAGCGAAAGATTTCACTGGAATAGCAAATATTTAATTGTTTCAGTTAAATTTTTACTACACTGAAAAAAAAATTTTATTTCATTCAAATAATCTCTTACTTTACTATTAACAAATAAATATTTACTTGAACCAAATAAAGGTATACTTGAACCAAACAAATATTTATACCTGAACCAAGTAAATATTTACTTAAACCAACCAACCAAACCATTTACTTGAAACAAGTAAATATATACTTGAACCAAATAAATATTTACTTGAACCAAATAAAGGTATACTTGAACCAAATAAATATTTATACCTGAACCAAGTAAACATTTACTTAAACCAACCAACCAAACCATTTACTCGAACGGAATAAAGGTATACTTGAACCAAATAAATATTTATACCTGAACCAAGTAATTATTTACTTGAACCAATCAACCAAAATATTTACTTGAAACAAGTAAATATATACTTGAACCAAATAAATATTTACTTGAACCAAGTAAAGGTATATTTGAACCAAATAAATATTTATACCTGAACCAAGTAAATATTTACTTGAACCAACTAACCAAACCATTTACTTGAAACAAGTAAATATATACTTGAACCAAATAAATATTTATACTTGAACCAAATAAATATTTATACCTGAACCAAACAAAAATTTACTTAAACCAATCAACCAAACTATTTACTTGAAATAAGTAAATATATACTTGAACCAAATATATATTTACTTAAACCAATCAACCAAACTATTTACTTGAAACAAGTAAATATATACTTGAACCAAATAAATATTTATACCTGAACCAAGTAAATATTTACTTGAACCAACTAACCAAACCATTTACTTGAAACAAGTAAATATATACTTGAACCAAATAAATATTTATACTTGAACCAAATAAATATTTATACTTGAACCAAATAAATATTTATACCTGAACCAAGTAAATATTTACTTGAACTAAATAAATATTTATACCTGAACCAAGTAAATATTTACTTGAAGTAAATAAATATTTATACCTGAATCAAGTAAATATTTTCTTAAACCAACCAACCAAACCATTTACTTGAAATAAGTAAATACATATATACTTGAACCAAATTAATATATACTTGAACGAAGTAAATATTTACTTGAACCAAATAATTTCTATATTTAAAACAAATACAATTTAATTGTCTCAAATAAAATATATTTGGTTCAAGTAAATTTTTTATTTGATAATAATTAAGTAACCGATTATTTGAATCAAATAAATTTTTTTTCAGTGTATTTTAGTGAAATCTTTCGCTATTTCAGATGAAATTTTTTTTTCCATGAAAAATCTAAAAAAAAAAATGTGCAATAAAATTTTTAATATTATTCAAATCCAAATTTTGTAATAAGAAATTGAAAAACCAGAAATTACCATTGCCAAATAAGTAGTTGGCGAAAATAATTGAAGGATTCCTCTTACATATTTCATAAATACAGCTGGTGCAAAAAGTGACGCAAATTGTATTTTTTTATTATACTCAGGTCTCAATGAGCCCATCACCATCAATTGTGTACCCCCCTCAGAGAAACCGGCATAAAGAAGCTTTTCTTCTTGCGTTTTATTTAAAACATAATCAATCGTCGCTGGTAAATCATACATTCCAAATTCGTGCCAGCTTTTATTTTTTAGAATAAAATAAAAATTTAAATTAAAAAATTTCTATGAAAATAAATTACATTTTTAATAAAATTTATTATTATTTTATTTTATAGATAAATAATTTTATTTTATAGAAATAAAATTTAATTACATTTTTATTTCATAAAAAATAAAATTTTAGTCAAAAATTTTTATTTCTATGAGAATTAAATCTATAATTTTATTTTCTATAAAACAATAAAAATGTAAATTAAAATTTTTATAAAAATATAATTAAATTTTTTATTTGTAAATAAAATTATAAATAAAAAATTTCGATGAAATAGAAATTTTTAAATTTTCAAAAATAATAGGTATATTTTGTTTACCTAAAGTCCCAATAATCATAACTCGTTTCTAATTTTGTTAAATGCTTTTTACTGAAGGAATTTCCACGATTGTTTCCCAACCATACGTCATAATTTTTATCGGCTAACGTCAATGCTTAAAAATAATTATATGACATTAATATAATAATAAATGTAATTTACAATTTATGGCCTTTCTTTATATTATAATATGTAAATATTTTTTACTGCGCACTTGTAGTTAATATCCAGTTTTTTTTTTTTTTACATAACTAATTTTAATCATAATGTGAGAAAAAAAATGTGTTACACACTAATTTAAAAAAAAAAATTGTCTAATTATATATATAATAGACGATTTCAATAAATTATATATATTTTTCATTTAATATTTATTCCTATATATTTATTTATATACAATTTGTACTTTTGTTATCAATAAAATTAGAGGCTACAATGTCACTAGAATATCGATGTTTATTTTTCGCTCTAAATATTGTTGAATATTTTTATTTAAAATTTTTTTTTTAAATTCAACAAAATTTTTTTTTTTATTAAAATTAAAATTTTTCTAAAACAGAGTAAAAAAATATTTATAAATATAAATATGGCATATAGGTTTAGAAAATAATAGTAAATAATTTTGTTATTTAAAAAAAATGTAGGAAATTTATTTTTATTTTTATTTAAAAAAAAAAAATTAGTGAAAATTTTGGAAAAATTTAAATAGATTAAAAAATGTTTACCAAATGATCTGTTTGGACCCGTTATTAACCATGAAGCTGACGAACCAATTAATCCATGCATCAAAAGTATGGGTTTTTTCTTTCCTGTAAAATTTTGTGCTTCATTTCTTCCACTTGGAATTCGATGAATTTCTAAAATATAACCGTCCTCGGATATTACTTGATGCTCTTCAAGTGGATAACCATATCTAGTGATTAAAGTTCTCTAAAAAGGAAATTTCAATTTTAATTACTGAAAATTTCTCATAAAATAATTAAAAAAAACTTTAATACTATTGCACTGAAAAAAAAATGTATTTTATTCAAATAAACGATTTACTTGACTATTATTGAATAAATATTTTGTTTTATTAAATAATTATTACTTGTATTGAATAATTATTATTTGTATTGAATAATTATTATTTGAGTTAATTAAATTGTATTTGTTTCAAATACATAAATTATTGGTTCAATTAAAAATTTATTTGGTTCAAATAACAATTATTTGGTTCAAGTAAATATTTATTTTGTATAAGTAAACATTTATTTGGTTCAAGTAAATGTTTATTTGGTTCAAGTAAATGTTTATTTGGTTCAAGTAAATATTTATTTGGTTTAAGTAAACATTTATTTGGTTTAAGTAAACATTTATTTGGTTCAAGTATATATTTATTTGGTTTAAGTAAATATTTATTTGGTTCAAGTAAATATTTATTTTGTTTAAGTAAACATTTATTTGGTTCAAGTGAATGTTTATTTGGTTCAAGTAAATATTTATTTTGTTTAAGTAAACATTTATTTGGTTCAAGTGAATGTTTATTTGGTTCAAGTAAATATTTATTTAGTATAATAACAATTATTTGGTTCAAGTAAATGTTTATTTGGTTCAAGTAAATTTTTTTTTCAGTAAACACTTATTTGCTTCAAGTAAATATTTATTTTGTTTAAGTAAACATTTATTTGGTTCAAGTAAATATTTATTTGGTTCAAAATAACAATTATTTGGTTCAAGTAAATTTTTTTTCTGATAATAGTAAAGTAAACATATTATTTAAATCAAATAATTTTTTTTTCCATGTGAAAATAAAAATATTATTTATTAATATTAAAAAATTAACAAAATGTTGAAATAATTTTTAAATATCTACAATTTTAAAAAAATGAAAAAAAAACTTACGAGATTAACATCTGTGCTTGGACGTTTACATTCTGTAAATACAATAAAACATAAAAATATCTTTATAACAGTAAAAACGTAATTTTTCATATTTAATTCAAAATTTATTCTAATAAATTATAATATTTAATGACTTTGTGTTTCTCTCTTTTGAGAATATTGAGCAAATTGTATATGCCTCAAACAAGTTGTCTTCCTAACTATAAAAAATAACTAAAACTATATTTTTTACAGATAATTAAAACAAATACACTTATCATTACCTTTAAAAATAAAACTGGTTTGCATTTGTTAAATATTAATAATGTGACTAATAAAAATATAATAAATAAATATATATATATATATATATATATATATGTAACCAGACGGAATTATTATACATAATTTTTGAATATTAAATATGCATAATGACTTTTGGAAAATTATTCATGACTATTTAAAAATTTTTTGCCAAGTTATAAAAAAAAAATTTCAATTTTTCATCGATTTTCAAAATAATATTAACGAAAAAACAAATTTTTAATTTTTATATAAAAAATAACGCTTTTTTATAAACTAATTATTTTTTTCTAAAAAGTAATTAATTTTTTTTTAATTCCTGGAAATACAATTAGAATATTTTGCAAAAAATTTTTAGGACTGATAATCTTTTTTATTTAAAAAAAAACTTTTTTTTTTTATTTTCCAAAATAAAAGTTATTCTCCTCGACCATTAAAAAATTATGCATAATATTTACGCCTGGATACCTATATATATATATATATATATATATATATATATATATATATATATATATATATAGTTATAGTAATAATTTATTTATACAGTAAAAATAGCTCCATTAAATTTTATTCGAAACGAATACATATATATGTAAAAATAATAAATAATATAGGTCGTAGATTTTTTTTTCTTTTTTTAAGGTTGAGTTTCATTGATTCTGTTATCGTCGACATGATTGCTCAGTACATTCATAACATCATTGTATAAAAGTTTTTTCGAATCATTAGAAAATAAAAAATCGAGATGACTGAACATTTCGAATGGCACTTTGCGAGATGTCGCGTTTGGTAATTTTGAACGTAACACCATCACGTCCTGAAACAAATTTTTATATTCATTTTTTTTTTTTTAATAGTCATATATTTTGTAAACAAAATGATTTTTTAATAAAAAAAAGAAAAATCATTTTTTTATTATTACTAAAAATATTTTTATTGACATTCAGTTATTAAAATGTAGTATATGAAAAAATTTTCTGCTATTAAAATTTTTTTTCAAATAATATAGTTTAATTTTTTTTTTTACAAGTTTATCGTTACATTGTTAATGAAGTTGAAAAATAAAATATTATTTATCATTTTTTACAGACAGAATTAATATTAACTTATAAGTTTCTTTTTTATAAATTAATGTAAAAATTTATTTTTTTTTTTAAATAACTTATCAGTTTATCTTTTAAAAATTAATTTATAGGTTTATTATTTTTTTTAAAGTATAAATATTAGAATAAAAATTGAAAATATTTGTAATTTTTCTGTCCAGTAATAATAATAATAATAATAAAATTTTTCAGAATATCGAAACTTTATAATAAAATTATTTATTTATTTATAATTAATTAAATTTATATTTTGAAAAAATTATTTTACAATTTTAAAAATTGTTTAGTAAATTTCTTTTGAAATTTTAGGAAATATTTTAACGTTAATATTTCGCATTTGTATATTGAAATAGTTTTGTAATTTTTCCCATACCTCTCTAGTAGTATAAGCGTCATTTGGTCCATAATATAAAATGACTGGTGAAGTTATTTTTTCAAGAGAATATTCCGGAGGTGTTATATTTTTGTAAAAAATTACATTTCTCTCGGGACCAAAATCATATTGACTAAACTTTCCTGAAAACAAAATTTTTATTTTTTGTTCATTTTATTTAATTTTAATTTATTTTCTATTATTTTTATTCATTTTTATTGCTTCTTATTATTTTTTAATTATTTTTTTATTTATTTTATTATTTTTATTATTTTTTATGATTTTTAATAATTTTTTTATTTTTTGTTAATATTTTTATTAATTTTATTATTATTTTATATTTGATAGAAAAACATTTTTTAAAATAAAATTAATAATTTTCTAGTCAACAAATATTTAAAAAAATAAAAATTTTTTTTGTACTTACCACTTATAATAATTTGTCTATAATGAAGAACAGTTTCTATTGAAGTTCCTTGAGGAAAATGTTTTAACATCGTGGGGATCATATTCTAATTTGAAAAATATAATAATAATTATAAATAAATATTATTATTATAGTTTAAGAAAAATTAAGTAAAAAAAAGTTTTTTTTGTTTTTTTTTACAGAAATATATTAAATAACAGATTCTTACTGTATCAAAATTATCCGCATTGGTGAGACCAATGAGATTGAAAAATAATTTTCGACAAAAATACTCTATCCTTGGTCCTTCACATAATGATGAATAAACTCCCACAGCGCTGGAACTTCTTGGAAATATTTCATGCATTCCTAGTAGTTGAAATGTTTCCTAAAAAAAAATTTTTTTCAAAAATATTTATAAATAAAAATACTTTTCAAAATTTTAATAAACTAAAATCAAAATAAATAAAAAATAACTAATTTTTATATTCTACTATTTATATTTTACTAGACCAATATGTTATTTACGATTTTTATTAACAATAATTTTTATTATTTTCAAAATATTAAAACAAAATTTATCTAATTTTTTAAATTTTCCAGCTAAAATTTGACCTACATTTAAGGTTATGTTCGTTTTTTTTTTGGTCATTTTCCTTCAAAGTTTGACCTAAATTTTGAGGTTATGTTTGTTTCTTTGTCTTTTTGCGCCAAATTTTGGCCTAAATTTTGAGGTTATGTTTGTTTCTTGGGTCGTTTCCCGACAAAATAACTTAACCTTAAAATTTAGTTCAATTTCGGCGGAAAATCCACATCTCCTTCAACGTAACGAAGGAGGGGGGGGGGCTTGCGACTATATTCACAGTCTTGAAACGAACATAACCTTTAAATTCAAGTCATTTTTGGCAGGAAATCTACCTCCACTTGCGGCTATATTGAAAGTTTTGAAATAAACATAACCTCATAATTTATGTCATTTTTGGTGGGAAATACGGAGAGGGGGTAAGGGAGGGGGGAGGACTTGCGGCCCTATTCAGAGTCTTGAAACAAACATAACCTTAAAATTTAGGTCATTTTTTGCCAGGGAGGAAGAGGAGAAGGGGGGGGACTTGCAGCTATATTCATGTGGGTCATTCCATATCAAGTGTAACCAACTATTGTACTATCCATGTCAAAAATATTGGTTGACTCACTCTTACCTAACCTTGTCAAAAACATGGGTTGGGTACACTTTATAAATATTTATTTGTATTAAATAATTATTATTTGACTCAATTAAATGGTATTTGCTTCAAATACAAAAATTATTACTTCAAATACAATTTATTTAATTCGTATAATTATTTGGTTCAAGTAAATATTTATTTGATAATATAGTCAAGTAATCGAGTATTTAAATCAAAAAAAAATTTTTTTCTTGATTGAAAAAATTTTCTTCGAGTTTGAAAATTTTTTTTTTTTTTAGAAAGGATTAAATTAAAATAAACCTTGAAATATATTTAGCTCGTTTTAAAAAGTTGTCATACAAAGTAATGAAAGTTGTATATATATATATATATATATATATATATATATATATATATGAATGAAATATTAAAAAAATTATTATTAAATAAATTTTAATAATTAATTATTTTAATGAAAAAATTATAATATTGAAAATCAGAAACTGTGTTAAATAAAATAAAACAAAAAATAGTGTAAATTGAAAATATCGGGAAAAATGTAGTAAATTTTACTAATTTACATGTGTCGAGAAAAATATGTGTTATATTTTTCATTATATAGACTTTTTTTTTTTAAATAATTATAAATAATAATCACCTGCAACTGTTTTCCATAGCGAATACCAAGTTTACTAACCAGTCCTGGGAGTACATGGGTGAAAATTGCAACAGGTGCAAATGACAGAACGACATTCACTTTTTCATTATAATCAGGCTTCATTGAAAGTAGAACTAATTCAATGGTGGTCCCCATAGAATGGCCAAGGAGTGACACTTTTTCCAATTTTGTTGTTTTTAATACATAGTCAATTGTTGCTGCCGCGTCATACACTCCAGATTCGTGCCAACTGAAAAATTTATTTATTTTATATTAATTAATTTTTTTTTATTAATTATTTATTTATTTTAATTAATTAATTTGTTTATTTATTATTTTTTTTAAAATTGCATATTTACATTTTTTTTCTTATTATTACCTAAAGCGCCAAAATTTCGATTCTTTGGGAGACAGCCGTTTATGGCGTTTACCATAAAAATTACCCCTGGTATTTAAAAGCCATACGTCATAACCTTCATCACATAATAAATAAGCTGAAAATAATAATTGTTATTTACCAAAAATTTAAGTTGATAATTTTATTTCATTAAAATGAATTATTTAATTAAATTAATATTTTATTTTATTCTATGTACACCCTTTACTAGGTACTTAAAGATTAAGTATTTAAACCATTTACTAAATCGTTCGGTTAGACAAAAATATTGGTTGAGGTAACCGAATTTTGGTTGTCGAAGCCGAATTTTGGATGTCGTAACCAAATTTTAGTTGTCGAAGCTGATTGTCGTAATAAAATCCTAGCTTTTGTAACCAAATTTTGGTTGTTGTAAGCGAATTTTGGATGTTGTAACCAAATTTTAGTAATCAAAGCCGAATTTTGGTTGTCGTAACCGAATTCTAGATGTAGTACCCGAATTTAGGATGTCGTAACCAAATTTAAGTTGTCGAAGCTGGTTGTCGTAAACAAATTCTAATGGCCGTAACCGAATTTTGAATTTCGTAACCAAATTGAAGTTGTCGAAGCTGCTTGTAAACAAATACTAATTGTCGTAACCGAATTTTGGATGTCGTATCCAAATTTTAATTGTCGAAGCTGAATTTTAGTTGTCGTAACCGAATTCTAATTGTAGTATCCAATTTTTGGATGTCGTAATCAAATTCTAGTTGTCCTAACCAAATTTTGGTTGTCGTAAGCGAATTTTGGTTGCCGTAACCGAATGCTTGTTGTAGTAACAGAATTTTGGATATCGTAATTAAATTTCAGTTGTCGTAACCAAATCTTGTCGTAATAAAATCCTAGTTGTCGAAACCAAATTTTAGTTGTCGAAGCTGAATTTTGGTTGTAGTAACAGTATTTTGGATGTCGTAATCAAATTCTAATTGTCGTAACCAAATTTTGGTTGTCGTAAGCGAATTTTGGATGTTGTAACCAAATTTTAGTTGTCGAAGCCGAATTTTGGTTGTCGTAACTGAATTTTGGATGTCGTAACCAAATTGTAGTTGTCGTAAACAAATCCTAGTTGTCGTAACCGAATTTAGGATGTCATAACCAAATTTTAGTTTTCAAAGCCGAATTTTGGTGGTCATAACTAAATTTTAGTTGTCGTAACCAAATGTTGGATGTCGTAACCAAATTTTAGTTGTCGAAACTGAATTTTGGTTGTCGTAACTGAATTTTGGATGTCGTAACCAAATTGTAATTGTCGTAACCGAATCCTAGTTGTAGTAACCGAATTTTGGATGTCGTAATTAAATTCTAGTTGTCGTAACCAAATTTTGGTTGTTGTAAGCGAATTTTGGATGTTGTAACCAAATTTTAGTTGTCGAAGCCGAATTTTGGTTGTCGTAACTGAATTTTGGTTGCCGTAACTGAATTTTAGATGTCGTAACCAAATTGTAGTTGTCGTAAACAAATCCTAGTTGTCGTAACCGAATTTAGGATGTCGTAACCAAATTTTAGTTTTCAAAGCCGAATTTTGGATGTTGTAACCAAATTTTAGTTGTCGAAGCCGAATTTTGGTTGTCGTAACTGAATTTTGGTTGCCGTAACTGAATTTTAGATGTCGTAACCAAATTGTAGTTGTCGTAAACAAATCCTAGTTGTCGTAACCGAATTTCGGATGTCGTAACCAAATTGTAGTTGTCGTAACCGAATCCTAGTTGTAGTAACCGAATTTTGGATGTCGTAATCAAATTCTAGTTGTCGTAACCAAATTTTGGTTGTCGTAAGCGTAGTTTGGATGTCGTAATCAAATTCTAGTTGTCGTAACCAAATTTTGGTTGTTGTAAGCGAATTTTGGATGTTATAACCAAATTTTAGTTGTTGAAGCCGAATTTTGGTTGTCGTAACTGAATTTTGGTTGCCGTAACTGAATTTTGGATGTCGTAACCAAATTGTAGTTGTCGTAAACAAATCCTAGTTGTCGTAACCGAATTTAGGATGTCGTAACCAAATTTTAGTTTTCGAAGCCGAATTTTGGTTGTCGTAACTGAATTTTGGTGTTCATAACTAAATTTTAGTTGTCGTAACCAAATGTTGGATGTCGTAACCAAATTTTAGTTTTCGAAACTGAATTTTGGATGTCGTAACCAAAGTGTAGTTGTCGTAACCGAATGCTAGTTGTAGTAACCGAATTTTGGATGTCGTAACCAAATTTTAGTTGTCGTAACTGAATTTTGCTTAAAATCTTATACCTAAATCTTTTCCTGGACCTCTTAGAATCCAAATATCAGAAGCCGCAAATAGTCCATGAATAAGTAGCACTACCGGTTTTCCCGGTGTTGCGGGTGATTTTGGACCACCTGATATTCGATGTGTTGATAAAATATAACCATCATCAGTGGTGACATCATGTTCCTCAGCCGTATAACCTGACGATTGAACCATATCCACCTAAAAAACTTAGATTCCTCTTAATAAATTTATCCTTCGAGAAAAATTTATAATTAGTTTATATATAGAGTCGAGAAAATAAAAAAAAAAAAGGAAAAAAAGAGAGAGAGAGACCGAACGAAAGAATACGATTGGATTAAATGTCACTTATTGGATAGAAAGAGAAAAAGTTAATTGAAAATTTATATACACAATATTTTATTACTATATAAATATATAATCGTGTAAAATATGTTTTCTTTTTTGCATTATTACTTGTTTTTATAAATATTTTATTAAAATAAATGTCACGATTTTTCATTTATTTTTTCTTTCTTTATTTTGAAAAAAAAAAAAAGATTATAAAGTTCATTTTACAAAAATGAAAATGTTGCAAATTATTACATTTAGAGAAATGGTATATTTTTCTCGTGAGCCTACTAACTCATTTATTTGTTGTAAATATATTTTATTTCTTTTAAATAAAAAATTTATTTGAGCCAACAAAAAAAATTATTTATGACAAATAAAATTTTTATTTACGCCAAATAAATAATTTGAGAAAAATATACATTTATTTAAGTCAAATATATTTTATTTGGTTCAAATAAATCATATTTCATACAAATACAAAAATTATGCAATTTTCCTTAATTATATAATAGTCAAATTTAAGGCGGTTTAATACCCTGACATAACCTCAAAACTAAAAATTTCTACTTTTAAAATAAATAAACGTAGTATAAATGCACTAATTATGGCGCAATTCGAGTCAAAATACCTTTGAAATAGAAAATTTCACATTTCTATTGTATAAAGTAAATTTAAGACTTATTAAACTAAAAACTTATGTTATTTAGATATTGAAAAAAAATTCAACTTTATAACAATCGATTATTTAAACAAATATGAGAAATTAAAAATAATACCGTAATTTTCTATTACGGCGTGTTTGTATCATTTTCGGTGTATCAATTACGGGTGACCAAAATTACGTGTATTTTAAAGATACTTTGCCCGCCGTAATTGAAGTCAATGGAAATATTAAAAAAAAAAATTCAATTACGGCGAGGGAAAAAATTTAATCTCAAATAATTAAATTAATAATTGTTTAAATATACATCTTTATAAGTAATTGTATAAAAAAAAAAAGATTAAAATAATTTTTGAAAATTATTTTGCAACAATTTTATTAAATATAATTTAGTAATAATAGTTATTTTTTATGAACACGCCGTAATTGGTACACTTAACCTATTAAAAAGAAGAAAAAAAATACTCACAAATGTTTGAAGTTGATTACCGGTGTTATTTTCTGCATTTTGAAATGATTGTTCAACATTTTGATAATTACGAAATGTATTGGCAGTGAAGCATGTGTGAATGAGAAGAAAAAATGTATAGAAGGCAAATCCTCGAAGTGTGGATAATTTCCGCATGTCGAAAAGGGATGGCACTCGCGAAATTCTGTTATCAGATTGATGATAGCGAAGAAAAGCGCGAGTGCGCGTCTCTCACCGTTCGTCAGCAAACATACTAATAATAATTTCTCCTCTATAGAGTCCTTGAAGTTTTCGTTTTTTTTTTTTTTTTTTTTTTCTCTCTTATAGCTGCGTGGTATATTGCCAATATTTAGGAGATCTTCATTAAGGTGTCTTCACACGCGACCTTGACGCAAATCCCCCTTTAAAACACCAAACGCCCTCCACCCTTTATTTATCTCTCTTCTTCTTATTAACTCACTGTCCTTGTCCCTCTCACTTTCTGACGCTAACTGCGCGATTTTCATCGAGCCCAATAACCTCACTAGAACCTACAAATTTATTAAAAATATTATTATAAATTATTATTATTATTATTATTATTATTTATTATTATTTATAATAAATTCTTAGGGAGGCATCAATAAATTATAAAAATCAATTGTTAGAATTTTCCTTACATGATTTTATTAGATATAATTTTCGTTGAGCCGAATTTTAATTTGTTTAAATTATTATTTAATATAATTTCCATATATAACCGATTTTACATACTGCAGAATTTATATTTAATCGAATAATTATTTAACAGAATTTCTAATTGATAGAATTTTCATTTTATCCGAAATTGCAAATGACCGAACAAACAATAGACAGAAAGATTTCGGCGCGATTTTTAAAATAAACGAATCATTTTAATGATAATTTTTGATTAGTTGATTTTGAAAAATCGCGCCGAAATCTTTCTGTCGATTGTTTGTACTCGGCTTTTTTGCAATTTCGGACAAATGTAAATACTATCAATTAGAAATTCTGTTAAATGATTTTTCGGTCAAGTATTGAATTGTAATTTAGCAGAAGAATTCCAATTGAATTATAACTTAATTTAAAAAATTCAAGTTTAAATTATAATTTAATTAGAAACTTAATTAAATTAAATTAAAGTAATTCTATTACAAGTTTTGTATTTTAAAGTAAATGAAATTTAAAGGCAACGAATTAGATAAAATTTTTTAATAATTTTTGTTTGCATAATGTTTTAAATTCTTTTTTAACACTTAAAATACTGAAATACGAAGATCAGCTGTTCCTATCGATGGCGGCCATTTTTTTCAGTTACGTGACAAAATCGACCAATTAGAATAGACAGAAATTTTTCCCGCAATTATTTAAATAGCATTTCTTAACTTTTTTTCAACAATTGGTATTTTTTTTAATCAATATATACAACAATTACAATGAAAATTCTTGGAAATAATAATTCGATCAAATGAAAATTCATTAAAAAGTCTATTATGTTCAATGAAACTTTAAGTAAATAAAAATTTGAAAAAATAAAAATTCGAACAAATAAAAATTTTGTGAAGTGAATTTTTAGTTGTATAAAAATTCTGTAATTTAGAAAATCATTTTAATGGAAATTCTGCAAAATAAAAAATTGACTAAACAAAAATTCGATTTAAAAATTTAATTATATCCAATTAAATTCTATAAAATGAAAATTCTAACAATTTATTTTTAGAACTTATTATTATTATTATTATTATTATTATTATTATTATACACAACATTTACCAACGAAATTTTTTTTAAAGTTGTATATTGATTCAAAAATTGTATACAAATACAAAAAATTTATGATGAGAAAAAAGATGCGCCAGGAAATTTCGTACAAGATAGTAATTTGAAAAAAATTTATTTTTAAAAATTAATTTTTAAGGTACCAGGGGCCAACCAATACCTATTAAATATTAATTATAAAAACACAGTCCTCGAATCAACTTAAAGACACAAAAAAGTCGTTTTAGTCGATTTATATTCCAAAAAAAAGTGGATTTGTTTTTTATTTTAACAAAAATATTTTACAGATTTTTAAATAAAAATTTTTTTGTTTTAATAATAATCCTTTTCGAAGGGTTAAAGTTGAAATTTTTAGAAATAATTAAATTTCAAAAGATATTGTTAATTTTCAAACAATTATTAAATTTTACAGAACTAAAAATAATTTATCAAACAATTTTTGGAAAACATTTTTTAAATTTAATTGAATTTTCAAAGATTTAAAATTGAGATTTTTGAAATTAATTGAAACTTTAAGTGTTTTGTAATTAAAATTTTAGATGATTTCACTAAAAATTTATTAGAAAATGCGGACAAAATACAATAATTTGAAAATCATTTTTAATTGAAAAATGGTTTCAGATAGTTGAATTTTCAAAGAATATTATTAAAATAGTTAAAAATAATTGAATTTCCTTAGAGTTATAATTGAAATTATTAAATTTCAAAAAAAAAAAATTTCGATGGAAAATTTTAGAAATAATTAAATTTTAGATGCTTTTAAATTCAAATTATTGAAAATTCAATTAATTTTGAATTCAAATTTTTGAGAATAATTAAATTTTATTTGATTTTAAATTTGGAAAATAATTGAATTTCAATTCATTTTGAATTAAAAATTTTGGGAAATAATTGAATTTTAATTGAAATTTTCGATAATAATTTAATTTAAGTTCATTTTTGATTGAAGATTTGGATAATTCGTTTGAATAGAAATTTGAGAAAATAATTGAATTTTATTTCATTTTAAATTAAAAACTTGATAAATATAATTAAATTTTAAATTGAAAATTTTGAAATTAATTGAAACTTTAAGTGTTTTGTAATTAAAATTTCGGGTAATAATTGAATTTTAGTTAATTTTGAATTGAAATTTTTAAAAAATAATTCAAAAAATTAAATAATTAATTAATAATTAATTAATAATAAATAATTAAATAATTCAAATAATTAAATTTTAGATACCCGTGTGGAAAAAGCCACGATCTTGCCCTCAAGAGTTCGGGGCCCCCGGCGGGGGCCCATGAGGGCTGATCCATATGGCGAATCCATGAGGGGCACCGTAGGGGCCCCGCATGGATCGCCCTCATGATCGATTAGCAAAATTTTCTAAGTCCAAAAATCAAATATTTTTTTATCACCAAAAAATTAATGTTTATAATGATTCACAACAATGAAAAACGCGTTTTTAATTAAAATATATTTTCACTTTTTTTGAAAATAACACTCACACTTATGGCGAATCCATGAGGGGCACCGTAGGGGCCCCGCATGGATCGCCCTCATGATCGATTAGCAAAATTTTCTAAGTCCAAAAATCAAATATTTTTTTATCACCAAAAAATTAATGTTTATAATGATTCACAACAATGAAAAACGCGTTTTTAATTAAAATATATTTTCACTTTTTTTGAAAATAACACTCACACTTATGGCGAATCCATGAGGGGCACCGTAGGGGCCCCGCATGGATCGCCCTCATGATCGATTAGCAAAATTTTCTAAGTCCAAAATTCAAATATTTTTTTATCACCAAAAAATTAATGTTTATAATGATTCAGAACCACGAAAAACGCGTTTTTAATAAAAATATATTTACACTTTTTTGAAAATAACACTCACACTTATGGCAAAATAGATGAGGGCCACCGTAGGGGCCCGCATGGATCGCCCTCATGATCGATTAGCAAAATTTTCTAAGTCCAAAAATCAAATATTTTTTTATCAACAAAAAATGAATGTTTCCAATGATTCAAAACAACGAAAAACGCGTTTTTAATAAAAATATATTTACACTTTTTTGAAAATTCGCCTGAGATGATTCATGATAATAATCATAAAGCATATAATTAATTATATTTTATAAATTGCATTTGATTGGAAAATATAATTTAATATCTTAACTTTAACTAAATGATGTTAAGCACTTTTCTTTGTTAGGTATTTTTCAAGTTTAAATAGCATCAAGAAGTTAGCATTCGTTTTGAAGTAGCGTGCGTAGCGTAGTTGGTAAAGCGTTAGACTCATAGTCCGTAGGTCGTAGGTTCGATTCCCCCCATGCGTTAGATTTATTTATTTCTCAGGTTTGCGTTTAATCATTAATTCTATGTATGAATTAATTGAAAAATGAAAATATCGGTTAATAGTATGCATAAATTACATATTTTTTAATTTTTTAATTAATTAATTTATTATTACTTTTAATTATATCCGACAGTTAATTAATTAGAACGTTAATTAATAAATTCAATTTGAGTAAGAATTTAATTTAAAATTGAATAATTATTAAATAAATATGTTATTTATTCATAACTTAAGCTTATTTATTATCAATTAACTTTTATTATTAATATTATTGATTAAAAAACATTATGGCAAACTTGAGGGCAAGATGAGGGCAAACGTGAGGGCCCATAAGGGCGCCCGTAGGGGCACCCTCATGGATCGCCCATGCGGGCGCCCTCATCGATGAGCATGTCGTTTCCATGAGGGGCCCCTATGGATCATCCATATGCGCCCCTCATGGCATGAGGGCGATCCATAAGGGCCCCCGCTGGGGGCCCACATCACTTTTCCACACGGGTACTTTTAAATTCAAATTATTGAAAATTCAATTAATTTTGAATTCAAATTTTTGTGAATAATTAAATTTTATTTGATTTTAAATTGAAAATTTTTGGGAAATAATTGAATTTTAATTGAAATTTTGGATAATAATTTAATTTAAGTTGATTTTTGATTGAAAATTTGGATAATTAATTTTGAATAGAAATTTTAGAAAATAATTGAATTTTATTTCATTTTAAATTGAAAACTTGGTAAATAATAAATTTTAAATTCAAATTTTTTGATAATTATTGGATTTTTAATTGATTTTGAATTAAAATTTCGGGTAATAATTGAATTTTAATTGATTTTGAATTAAAATTTCAGGTAATAATTGAATTTTAGTTTATTTTGAATTGAAATTTTTAAAAAATAATTCAATTTTATTGTGATATTTTTTTTTTAAAATTATAAACAATTGTTAAATTTCATAAAAATTTTAATTGAAAAATAATTTTGATATAATTGAATTTGTAATGTATTTCATTAAAATTATTAAAAATAATTAATTTAGTGAAGAATCATTTTAGTTCAAAATTTGTTAAATAATTGAATTAAAGAAAATCTAAAGAAGATCTACATTTTATACTAAAAAAAATGTATTTTTTATTATCATTTAATATGTAATAATATTCCAATAAGTTAAATTGTTATTGATAATATTAATCTTTAATTTCTTTATAACAAACAATTAAATACTCAATTTGGCGCGCGTTTAATTTTGCTAGTTATAAATTATATTATCGAATTTTTTTTTTTTTAATGATAAAATTATGATAATCGAAATAATTAAATAATTAAATAATAATATTATTATTAAAATTATTAAATTCAATATATTGATGCAAAATTATCGATTTGATAATTTATTAAATAATTGTAATGA